GCTGGATAAATGCTCCAATTCGCGAGCATGTTGAAGTAGCTAGGTGCCAAAAGTGCTTAGCCTACGAACACTCTACCCGAACCTGCAAAGGCCCCGACAGAAGCAAAAACTGTCGGAGATGCGGCGGAGAGGGACACCTCGCGAAGAGCTGTAAAGTTAAGCCGAAGTGCCTTACTTGGTTGGACCTGGGGAAGCCAGAAACGGATCATGAGTCCGGAAAGAGAGCCTGCCCGGTTTACAGGGAAGAACTGCAAAAGATTAAAAAGGCAAATCCTTAAAATTTTTGCAGGTCAACCTGCATACAAGTAAGGATGCACAGTTGCTCCTAATGCAAACAGCAAGGGAAAATGAGGTCGATATCCTGTTCTGCAGTGAGCAGTATCAAGGAAGCGACCTCGCCCCTTGGTCAATGCCACGCAAAGGCGCCATTCCCGTATGAAAATCTTTGCACTGGTGGTCAGAGGAGCTAGCCTCCTTGAGGAAGGAATGCCTCAAAGCAAGAAGGATATATACCCGATCTAAGTCCCAAGAAAATCCTTGGGTGACCAAACTAGTAAAAATTATTAAATAATGGAGGTGGTCCACAAATCCCTAACTCCTCTACCATTTTGATTGCTCTTTCCCAGGTGAAAATGATTCCAACAATTTTCAATGGATATTTTATAAATTTCGTTCAGAATTCCTATAAAATTCATGTAAAACGAAGAAAAAAATCCACTTGTTGTTTTGAAGCAGAATTTCGGACTAGTATTCTTGTGAATTCCATCCGAATTTTTTTATGGTAAATTCCACAAGTAATGTCTGCTATTAGTTTTGTAAATAATTTTCGGCCACATTTTAGAACAAATTTCATGCGAATTTTTCATAAAAAATTCTGTAGTAATTCCGACGAATATCGTCCAATATTCGTTCTGAAATTTGACCGAAAATTTGTTATAAAATTTTTATTAGAAATTACTTGTAGAATTCCATACAGATTTCCGTGCAACAAATTTTTTTGAAAATCCACTTAAAATGGTCGGGTGTAATTCGCGCGAATTTTCGCTTGAAATTCTGTTTCAAAACGCGACATGAACTTTATTGGTAATTCCACACAAATTCGATAGGAATTCTGAACGAAATCTGTTTGATATTCGACAGAATTATTTTCACCTGGGTTAGGAACCGGCATTACAACCACATTAAAAAAAATACTACTGCTTAATTCTCAAAGTGATATAATTTTAAATTTTATTTGTTTCTATTTTAAATGTTTTGTAGAATATTAATTTAAAAAATTGAATTATCTAAGTTGTTTAAAAATATATGTGCATTTAAAACGTTCCTCTTCTCGTGGAGCATCACTTATTTAGAATTTCTGTATTATTTTAGAAACTTGAGTTAATATTTTATCTTGAACAACAAAACACGGAGAGAAGAAAGTAGTTAATCTTACTCAACCCTGAGACATAGTTACTAAACAATATGGTGACATTTTCGTTCAACAAAACAAAAAGTAAGCTTCACTAAACAGTAGTTTAGTTACCAAGACTACCAATTTGATTTTTATGTCTACGATATGAACTGTCATATTCACGTTTCAGTTTACAATTTACAAAAATAAAAATTAACCTCTTTTTTAATAAATATGAGAGTTGTTAACACTTGCTAAAAATAATTTTGTCAAATATGGTATTAATTAAATAACTAAATATTAATTATTTCCCGAGAAATTTTGTTTTATGGTGATCACAATGAAAATCAAGAAATATTTTACAAAAAAGAACTGACGGTGATATAAGGTTAAAATACTAAATTAATTTAAAAACTATAATTTTAATTAATAATCTGATTAAAAAATCTAAAATAGAATTAGTTTTGTTTGCTTTACTAAGCAGACATTTATCTTTACTACTATGTTTAGTTCGATCGACAACAAAAAAATTGAACGCTGTTTTGTAACCTTTACCATATATTCATTTATCGCAACTCAAATTTTCTTACTAAACGCGTAAGAGTACAACCAACTATAACTCTTCTCTCCGTGAAATGGTGCTTTTAGAGATAAGTCTGGTATTCCTTCTTTTTCTAATAACAACATTTTATGATCAGTTAAAAGTTCTTGTCTCACGTTTTAACCTATACATTTTTTTAGGAAAAAACCTCACCTTTATGAAAAAAAAATTTTTTTAATAAAAAATGTCCATTTGATAGAAAAATGAAATTTTATTTTTTAATTGAATTTTTCAAAATCAAAAAATTTTTTTCTTAACCCTAGAAGAAGTACGTTAATTTACTCACCCTCTAAGGAGTAACTGGGGTATCCAGACACTCCACGCTTTAAACTTTTTTTTAAGGTTTCTATTTGACGTAAAAAAATTATGTGTAGTGAATTTGATTGCTTTTTTAGTAAGGAAAACAATGGTTTTATTCATTTTTTGATAAATTAAAAAAAGTTTTAAATAATGGCTAAGGTTTGAAAGCGAAAAAATCATTTTTTAAGTTAGAGGCGTATTTTGAATATTTCGTGGGGTGTCCAGACACCCCAGTTACTCCTTCTAGGGTTAAATTTGTTTACACCATTATAGAAAGTGCTGAAAAATATAAAAAAAACCTAAAATAGAAAACACATTTTCCTTTTATTAATCAATCTTTTACGTCCGAGAAATAGTAATTATAGTGAAGGAGAAGAAAACGAAAACATTCGGACAAATAGTTTTTAAAAATTAGTTTACTCCAACGTTTCAAAGTCAAAATTAAAAAATTACTTTTTAAAAACAATTTGTCCTAATGTTTTCGTTTCATTCTCCTTCACTATAATCTTTTCGTTTTAAAGAAACTACAAAGTTTTCAAATATTCCGTGTAAATTTGGACCCTGATCACTTGACGTGGAATGCCGCATATACATGTCATTGACGTATATTTTGGAATGGATAATAAGAAATAATACTACTTTTGATTAATATTTGTCATTATATAAAATTTTCAAAATTGTGAAAATTATAAACAATATATTTAAACAATTAAAAATATTTTCATGTTCTTCCAACATTTTAAAAAACTTTTTTATTGAATATTACTTCTTATTTAAGGGGGGAGCCTACTTTAGAAGGCCTAAAAATAGCGCTTTTTTAAGAATTATTTTAGGAAGAAGAAAAATAACTTAGACCTCCGGGCTTTTTGAGATGTTTTTGTACATATTTAAAGCATTTGTGAAAAAATTTTTGACATGAAATATTAAAAAATACATAAGTTAAAATTAATTGTTGATGGTGGTGCACATCTGCACTTAAAAACGGTGGGCACGATAGAGACTGCAATTGAGGGCGTGGATCGGATAACTGCCTGTAGCGCATGGCCGAAAGGGACTATACCAGTCAGACATCAGTGTGAGGCCTAGAGGCGCTCACTGTTGTCTGACTGGTATAGTCCTTTTCGGCCATGTGCTACAGGCAGTTATCCGATCCACGCCCTCAATTGTTGTCTGAAACATAAAAATAAAGAAAAATTTTAAAGTTTACATATGTAGTTTCTATTTGAACTAATAAAATTCCAAAGAAATAGTGAAATTTGATAATTTTGAGTGATAAAAACAAAAAATCATTTTTTTGAAAAAAAAATAATGACTTTAACTGGTTCTCAAAATTGTTAAAAATTTTTTTTAAAATTTTTTTAGTTCAAGTAGAAGAGGGATTAATACTAAGTAAAACAAGCCATCATTCATTAAAATCGGTCGAGGCGTTTTCTGTCAATCCTGCCCACCAGTTAGTAAAATTCGTAAAAAGTGAAATTCGAAAAAACGCGCTTTAACTTTCGCGCTACCAACGGGCCACCGAGCGGGTAGCCAAGCAATTATTAATGTTATAAATCTGCTCGAATTTTGCATAAAAAAAATTGCGATTTTAAGTCACTAAACAAAATTTTATCTACTTTCGAAAAATAAAAAAATTAAATTTTTTTTACATTTCCTCTTATTTATTTATAACAATTATAAAAGTATGTACCAGACTACTGAAAATTGCCCGGGTGCTTATTTTGTATATTGCAAAAAAATGAAAATAAAATCATCAAAGTTTTACAGTAAAATTGTTTTATGTCAATAAATACAATATATTTTCATGTTACAATGAATTTTTTATTTGTTTAAACAAATTATTGTTGTTATTTACCAACTTTTTACAGAATGCACCTAGAAAGTTGCAGTTTTTTCCCAATTTTGCAATTTAATTAACTCTACATGATTACAGATATAGAACAAAAAATTGAATTATTGTTTAAACAATTTTTAAACAAAGTCTTGTTGTTATTTACTAACTTTTTACAGAATGCACCTAGAAAAATGTAGTTTTTTCCTAATTTTGCAATTTATTAAACTCCATATGATTACAGATATAGAAAAAAATTGAATTATTATTTAAACAATTTTTGAACAAATTATTGTTGTTATTTACTAACTTTTTACAGAATGCACCTAGAAAAATGTAGTTTTTTCCTAATTTTGCAATTTATTAAACTCCATATGATTACAGATATAGAATAAAAATTGAATTATTATTTAAACAATGTGTAAACAAAATATTGTTGTTATTTACCAACTTTTTACAGAATGCACCTAGAAAGTTGTAGTTTTTTCCTAATTTTGCAATTTACTAAACTCTATATGATTACAGATATAGGAAAAAATTTGAAATATTGTTTAAAAAATTTTTAAACAAATTATTGTTGTTATTTACTAACTTTTTGCAGAACGCACCTAGGAAAATGTAGTTTTTTCCTAATTTTGCAATTTACTAAACTCTATATGATTACAGATATAGAAAAAAATTTGAAATATTGTTTAAAAAATTTTTAAACAAATTATTGTTGTTATTTACTAACCTTTTACAGAATGCACCTACAAAATTGCAGTTTTATAAAGAAAAAAGTAAAAAACTGCAACTTTCTAGGTGCATTCTGTAAAAAGTTGGTAAATAAAATGAAAAAACTTTGATAAATTTTAATCGTTTTTGGAACATAAATATAAAAAAGCGTTTGGCCACCCTGGGTGGCCCCATCGGTAGTCTGTGTATACAAAAATCTTTAGTAGCGCGAAGGTTAAAATTTGAGTTTTAAAAGGTATGAATTTTAAACTACTTACATCAATATTCTTCTAATCTGCAATCCCAGCTCCATAAAACTCACCTTCTGCTTCCTCAAAAAACTCATTTTGGTGCATTTGTTCCAGTCTACGTGCCGTACGAGCTTCTTTGTTGGAAAGTGACTGACGCCTGTTCGCTCTCTTAATCCGCTCCGCGTCAATGTTATCCGCAAATATTTTGCATTGTTGTCCGATTTTCAAATAAAGCAACTGCATTGTACACAAAATTGCAGAATATCCTTCGTTAAATATTCCTGCAGCCAAGAACGCTGATAATTCGACGATTTTTTTACCACAATGCAAATGTTTCGGGTTCAAGCGCCATACGGTCGAGTTGATGGATTCGTTGAAATTTTGTGTGTGTCCGCCTAAGCACCGCGTTAAAAGATCGTTATTTGACAGTTCTTCGTAGATAGGCCGAATGTGTTTCTCAACGTTTTCATTTATTAATCGCGGAGGATGCTTGTAGGATCCCAATTGATTTTCAAATTCAGCAACGCGCCATGAACACCAGCTGTCTGCACCTTGCGGACAATTCTTGTGCAGAGGAGATTTATCAGTAGAGCAATAATGGTCAAGAGTTGCCATTATTGCAGTTTTCATTCCTTTCACAGAATCAACGTTTCTCCTTATAGCTAAGCCATAATAGATTGTCAATTTTTTAATGAGGCTTTCCGTCAGACCTTTTTTACCCCCGAGATGTTCTTGCTTCCTTTTATTCCTAAGTCGTGTGCCCATACGCTTTTGCACATGTCCCACTCACTCGTTTTTTGTCACACGATTTTCATCTCCGTACGGGTTCACCTTCAGAATACCAGCAAAAGTTTTGGAATCTCCATCGCCGATGTAATTAGAATATTTTTTTCCGAATTTTTCCACAGATCTCGTAAACATTTCCACGATTGAATCGACTTCCATTTTTCCTGCAGAAGCTTTGTGATTTGAAGAACACGATTCTTTATTCTCTTCAAACCATTCTTCAAATTCGTCGTCGTCTACTTGTTGTTTTTTTAAGGTACATGCTAGACAGTGCGAACTTTTTACAACCAGATCCAATAATTTGCCAGAATAATATCCAATTAAAGTTGTTACACCGAATAAAGAGGCGAAGCCACGATTTTTCCAGGTTCCATCACCAGAAACTTTTAAAGCTTTTGCGGATTTCCCATTTTCTACATTTTTTTTATTTCCTCTTTAACAGATTTCTCACAGACAAATTCGAACATTGACTTTGACGCAGAGTAAAAAAACTGCACTATTTTGTCGTACGATCCTTTCGCCAAACCTTGACACATATCCATAAGACCACAGAACAAATTTATGCCTTCACGTCCAACACCAAGTAGTCTCATGACAAATACGATTCGCCTGTTTATTTCGTAGCCGGTATTAATTAACGGTCCTGAATGTATTTCTTTTCGACCGCACATACACGCTAAAATAATTTTAAAGCCTAAGCCCCGATGTCCGCTTTCCACAAATTTTATTTTTTCTTTACACAATCCACAGATTACTATATCAGCAATAGCATGAAAAACAGTGAGAAACTCAATAATTCTATAACCATGAAGCGGATTTATAATTATATCTTTTGTGTTTGCTGATGACAATTTTTTTGCACTACTACTTTGATCATTATCTTCATTACTGAATTCATTCGAATACCGATTACCGTGAAACTTACGCTTTCTTGGTCTCGCAGAACGATCACTATTCGATCTGTCACCTTTAGGGTAACTTGCCATAATATCTTAACCCAAAGCGTACACTATGTAAAAATAAAATAAAAAAAATTCGTATTCGCGAAAAACAGAAAAACTGAGTCTTTTTACTTAAAAAATCATAACTATCGCAATTTTTAATATTTCAAAAATTAACTATAATATGCTCTTCAGATATAACACTTTTAGAAAAAGTACAGTGCGGATTCAATATGGCGAAAAATTGTCAAAAATGATCAGATTTGCTTAAAACTTGTTTCTCTAGGGTTTTTGAAGTTGCTGATTACGAATTTAACGTCAGTTTTTCAAAACTCAAAAGCCAAAAGCTGTTAAACATAAAATTTTGAGCAAATCCGATCAATATTAAAAAAATTTCGCCATATTGGATCCGCCATTTTTAATTTTAAAAAACTGATGTTAGATTCGTAATCAGCGACCCCGAAAACCCCCGAGTAACAAGTTTCAAACGAATCCGATCAATTTTGAAATCTTTCCGCCATATTGGATCCGCCATTTTGAATTTTTAAAAACTAATGTTAGATTCGTAATCAGCGACCCCGAAAACCCCCGAGTAACAAGTTTCAAACGAATCCGATCAATTTTGAAATCTTTCCGCCATATTGGATCCGCCATTTTGAATTTTCAAAAACCGACACTGGATTCGTAATCAGCGAGCCCAAGAACCTCAGTGTAACGAATTTAATCAAAATTTATAAAGAAGAAATCATATGAATTCACAATTGGTTGTAACCTTCAATGTTTTTTAACTTAACTTTTTACACTCGACAAAAATCAACGAAAAACATGAAAAATAATTTAGATTGGCCTCTCAAACTTTAGGTACATATTCTTGGATGTATTTTCTAAAGATTTAAGCAAAAAAATCGATTTTTTTTACCATGTAAAGTAGGCTCCCCCTTAATCACGAATAATTAAAGAAAAGAAAAGTAAGTATTCTCAATTAGATAAAAAGTTATTTAGGTTTTTCTCTGAGCGCGCCACGCGCCATGCGTGACAGGCGTGAACGTCGTCCCATCCCGGGACGCACAGTGGGATTTTTATACAATTTACTGTTTAAAAATGTCTACAGCCTACAATTTTTGAACGATTTGAGTGTTCTTTGATATAAATTAAAGGGGAATAAATTCTTTAGACATCCCTCAAGGGATGGTGCAGAATTTGAGGCGCATCCATATTTGTTATATTTAAGTGTTTACATCAATTTTTAAATTATTAACAGTAAATTGTAAAAAAAATCCCACTGTGCGTCCCGGGACGACGTTCACGCATGTCACGCATGGCGCGTGGCGCGCTTAGAGAAAAACCTGAATAACTTTTTACCTAATTAAGAATACTCACTTTTCTTTTCTTTAATTATTCGTAATTAAATAAGCAGTAATATTCAATAAAAAAGTTTTTTAAAATGTTGGGAGAACATAAAAATATTTTTAATTGTTTATCATTTTCACAATTTTTAAAATTTTATATAATGACAAATATTAATCAAAAGTAGTATTATTTCAAATTATTCATTTTAAAACTCAAATAGATTTTTTTTATAAAACGATAGATAATTAATAATTTCGAAATTCATACAAAAAATGTTATTAACAATTGCTATTGTAAAAATTAAAATTTCGCAAAACTGTTCAACTTGTATTTTTGTTTTATCGTATAGAGTAAAAAAAAGTTAAGAACATAGAAAATACTCACCTATCCAAAAATGATGGCTTGCTTCACAAATTTTGACACATTTTTAAAAAGCAGAATTTCGTTATTCCTTGTTGTTCCATGAGAACAACATACAAAGGAGCCAAAACATGTCCGTCAGTAAGTATGGAAGAGACTGTTCATTGAAAATTCAAAATAGATAAAAAAATCTAAGAAACGCAGTCTCTTCCATACTGACGGAAATGTTTTGGCTCCTTTGTATGTTGTTCTCATGGAAAAACAAGTAATAAGTTGGTTGTTTGTAGGAACTGTTCGGTATGTGGTTGTCACATAAAAAAGAAGTAATTCTAAATAAAATTTACTAACACGTTTACTTTTAGGAAGTCTCAAATTAATTTTCAACAATTTTGTTATATATTTATATTTTTTACAAGAAATTTTATAATTTATTTTCATTCAAGCAATGTAGACGAGCATTTCATGAAAGGTCTGTACGATCAACTGCAGCTCGGCAAGTTATACATACTGATGTGTGCGGTCCGATGCAAGTTGAATCATTAGGCAGAAAACGTTATGCTTTATTCTTTAAAGATGAATTTTCAGGTTATCGAAGGGTTTACTTTATCAGGGAAAAATCAGAAGTTTACGAGAATCTAAAAAGGTTTTGCACAGAAGTCAAAAATCAATTTGGTAAAAATGTTAAAGAAATTCATAGTGATGGCGGTAAAGAGTATGTTAATAAGGATATAGAAAAGTTTTTAAACAGTCAGGGTATAAAACATACAGTCAATGTACCATACACGCCCCAACAAAACGGAATCGCGGAGCGCGAAAATCGGACTATAGTAGAAGCCGCGAGGTCTATGATTTTCTCTAAATCGGATCTTCCCTTTTTTTATGGGGAGAGGCAACCCTCACAGCACCGGGATATTCAAGATATCCCAGAGACGTCCTGGGGATATCGATTTGTTTTCGGAAGTTTGGATATCTCTGGGATATCCTAGGGACGTCCATGGATATCCAGAGGATATTCCAGGGATATCCAAACTTCCGAAAACAAATCGATATCCCCAGGACGTCTCTGGAATATCCTGAATATCCCGATGCTGTGAGGGAATGAACACAGCTGTTAATGTTATAAATCGAACGGGTCCATCAAAAGAAGTAGGGAAAACACCGCATGAGTTATGGTATAATAAACAAGCAAGTGTTAAAGATTTGAAAATTTTTGGTACGGAATGTTTTGTTCACATTCCTAATGAGAAACGTAAAAAATTAGATAAGAAAGCAATGAAAGGATTCTTAGTTGACTATCTTGATGACTGCAAGGGTTATCGAGTTTTTATTCCTGAAAAGGGTGATGTCGTTTTAAGTAGAGATGTAATATTCAAAAATGAAGTTTTGGTACCTCAAGAAGTAATTTTAGATAATTCAAATAACACCGATCTGAAAAAGGAAAAAGTGTTTTTTGAAAAATCTGATAGTGACGAGGAAAACGAAGACGAAACAGAACACTTGCAATCATCAACGGTAAGTGATGTTTTAAATAAACGCCAACTAAGAAACAGACAAACTATTGCCCCTCCTGATTACTATGGATGCCCGATAACTTATCTTGCAGAAACTATACCTGATAACTACAGAGATGCTATAAGTTCGAAAAATAGTAATGAATGGAAAATAGCTATGCAAGATGAGTTTAAATCGTTACGCGAAAATGATACTTGGGATTTAGTAGAAAAACCGGAAAATAAAAAAATTATTAACAGTAGATGGGTTTTTACTAAGAAATTAAATTCTGATGGTACTGAACGATATAAAGCACGGGTAGTAATAAAGGGTTACTCACAATCAGAGGGAATTGATTACAAAGAAACGTTTAGTCCTGTAGCGCGTTTTGATACTGTAAGAATAATGTTAAGCATTGCAGCACGTGAAAAGTTAAAATTAGCTCAATTTGACATCAAGACCGCGTTTTTGTATGGAGATCTAAAAGAAAATATTTTCATGAAACAACCTGAGGGATTTGATGATGGTACATTGAGAGTGTGTAGATTGAAAAGAAGTCTGTATGGATTAAAACAAGCTCCAAGATGTTGGACTGATCGTTTTTCAAACTTTGTTAAGGGTTTTGGTTTCCGGGTAAGCTCAGCTGATCCATGTTTTTATATATATGATCGAGACAATTTTAAAATGTTTTTAACAATTTATGTAGATGATGGACTCTTAACTGCCACACATGAAGATCTTATTAAAGATTTCTTTTGTGAACTAAACAAAGAATTTTAAACAACAACAACGACAAATGTAAAATTGTTTCTAGGTATGGAAATTTGTCGACTCGAGAATGGCTCTAT